CTCCTGCATCCAGATCGTTGATAAATATATTGAACAGGACTGGCCCTAGAATTGAACCCTGAGGAATGCCGCTGGTGACCAGTTGCCAGCCTGAGGTAGCCCCCTTCACTACAACGCTTTGAGCTCTGTCCTTCAGCCAGTTCTTCACTCAGTGCACTGTGAATCCGCTCATCCCAGTTTGACAACTTGTCCAGAAGGATGCTGTGAGGGACAGCATCAAAAGCCTTACTAAAATCCAGAAAAACTACATCCACCACCTTCCCTTCATCCACTAGGCTGGTGACCTTATCACAGAAGGATATCAAATTAGTTAAACAGGACTTTCCCTTTGTGAACCTATGTTGACTGTGCCTGATGATTGCATTATTCTTTAAATGCCTTTCAATAGTGCCCAGTATGATCTTCTCCATAATTTTTCCAGGAACTGAGGTTAGACTAACAGGTCTGTAGTTCCCTGGGTCTTCCCTCACGCCCTTTTTGTAGTTTGGAATAGCATTGGCTAGCTTCCAGTCAGCAGGGACCTCCCCAGACTCCCGAGACCGTTGGTAAATGATCAAGAGGGGTCCTGCCATAACATCCGCCAGCTCCTTCAGTACTCAGTGGTTTCTAACTTGTCTGGCATGGCCATCGATCTGGGATTAAACCAACCCTCTGGTGATGCACTGCCCACCACAGTGACCATGAGAGAGTGTTCAGAAGCGTGTCCAGGTCCAAACCATCACACTTGATACAGACGGGCAACAGGTAAGGTCTGCTTCCAGGCACACAGCTCTCGGCAATGCAGGCACATCTCCAAAGCTTCTACACAGAGAGATGCTCTGATCTTCTTTTTTCCTCCCGTTTCCTTCTTTTCCAATGAAACTTCTCCCCTCCCAAAAGACATAATGGCAATTATCGGGTTCATCAGTAATATATCTGCCATCACGCAGCCTGGGGATCTCAAAATGCCAGTCTGCCCACTGGACCATTAAAGTCGATGGCTGTTCCTAACCTTTAAATACGAATAGAGGGTGCCCTGCATAATGGATTGGAGACCATCTGCCTGGTGGCTGCAGAAATGCTCACGTTGTTCTTCACAGGAGTTTATTACTCAGAGGCTAATGCTAAAAATACATTGCAAAGGGCCTTATTTAAAAACAAAGGGCTAATGCAAACCTGGCAACAGAGAAACACAAGACTGAATCCAAGCACCTCCACCACCCAGGCTGGAGTTAAGTTGCAACCAGACAGGCACTAACTTAATTTGAAAGGCAATGACATAATTCTGAATTAGCTTAACAGGACCTGCAATTCATACAGAAAAGTCTGAATTTATGTAGTAATTAGCCAGAGCTTTCAGAGTGCTAGGTATCTCCGTGATGAGAAAATAATTACATAGCTTATTAAAGTGAGGTAAAAATGGACCCGCTGATGGGGTTTTTTTGTGCTAAACTCCACTTTCACTAAGTTAGACTTTATTTTTGATTAAACATACAATTCACCAAAACACCAAAGTCACTTAACAAGTTGAAGTTTTCTATTAATCACTTGGACATCATTGTGCAAGTGATTAACCCCTCTACACACTAGCCCCTCCTTGAAAGACACCCCTGGAGCCCAACGAGCAGTAAAGCTCTGTGAGCTTTTCATTGATTTCTCCATCGGTTTTGAACTCTGCCTGGGTCAACTCTCAAACGACACATTCTGGAGGATGAGCCTGGAAATTGCTCTCCCCTTCTAGTCCTCGTTACCAGCCAGGGAAGCAGACATGTCCTCAGAGGAGTTCTTCAAAGCACAGCCAAGATGTTCAAAGTAACCCGGTGACTGCAGGTGCACAACTTCAGCCTCGAAGCAGGTCTGATTTTCTTAAGAGAGCTGCTTGGCAGCAGCAGGTAAAGCCCTTTCCAGTACTTAGCTGGCCTGTAATCAAAAGGTTCCCCATATCAGAAGCCACCTTTGAAAAGCTCAGCCTGGTTGGGCTTCAGAGCATCTCCCCGGTCCCCCGGGATGCCGTGCACGACCACCTTTTCTGGGCATCTTCCTCGCTTGCTTTCCAAAAGGTAAGCTGGGAGCGCCTTGCTCGCACACCCTGTGCCAGCCCTGGTCCGAAATGGAGCCGACCCACTTGAAAAGAAGAAACTCCGTAAAAGCTGGGAAAGCAGTGGGGGACAATCTAAAAAAATCAAACCCGGGACTGGAAAGTTTAATGAGGCAAAGAGAAAGGCAGAAGAAATTGGGCCGGATGAAGCAGGACACAATCCCAGTGTCTGCACGGGGCTGCTCAAGGGCTTGTCAGCCCGCAGCGGGCAGCAAACTCCATCGTGGATACCTTGGCACATTTCAGAGCAAAAATCATGAAGTCAAAGAAATGGGAATTTTTTGACCGCTAAAATTCAGACTCTTTCATTTTGTTTCTGCAAAACAAGGTCAAAATGAGCTTTTGTAAGGAGATTTTTTTTCTTGAAAATGAGAAGAGTTTGGGCTTTGTTAAACAGCTACTTAACTTGCTATTCACTACAGACAGAAGTGGAAACCAGAAGAGGAGAGATGTCAGGAAAATGTGGAAAAGGTGACAAAAGTCCCACTTAGAAGAGGAGATGAATGATGATAGAAGAACTGCTGCATTTATGAATGCTACAGCAAAACAGTTTCTACATCCTTGGTACCTAAGAAAAGGATATTGTGCAATGCTTGACTAAAAATATGCCTGACTCATTTTATGATCACACAAACAAGATTCAAATGCTGTGGTCCCTCTCAGAGGCACCATCCCGTGACAAAGGTCAGAGAAGTTTTTGCCCATTCTCCCGAGTGCAGAGAGATGCTGAAGTCCATGGTGGTCGATTCGCATCTAAACGTTGTGCATCTAAACAACTGCTACCCAGCCCGTACAAGAAGAGCCATTAGCATAAGAACATCTGCAGCATCTTTAAAACCACAGCATCTTCTGGCAGCCAGCCAGCCAGCATGAACACAAATAGTCTGGAGACAGACTATAAGCAACCATGGAATTATATTTTTTTTTTCCCCAATACTTTGCTTTTTTTGCTGGGCTCACCCAGAGAAAGCAGGCAGGCTTCTGATTAACTCTCCTTTCAGGGTTGCGCTCATCAGCAGGGTGTTGCGGTTGAAAGGACTGCTGTTTAATAGCTCAGATTTGAATTTCTAGGAAAAAAAAATGAACACACTTCTCTGCTTGGCAGCACTGACACGAGCCTGTATTGTAGACCGAGTCTGACCTAACAATGCATTTCCATTTGGATACTGCAACCATCTCTCTCTCTTTTTAATATTGAAGTATTAATACCTAACCACTACTAGGTCATTCTACACAGCAAAAATCCCTTAATTACATGTTTAACATTAACCTCAGGCCAAATAATTTGTTGATACTTTACTTTGCAGAGAGGACGGGCTTAAGGAGCTACCTGCAGACGCGATGAACACGGGGAAAACTGCTTTCCACGCTGCCAATGTCAAACGTTACTCTAACAGCACGTACCTGGTACCTGACAGGAACAAGATACTTCTATTTTTTAAATTCGTGGTCACAACAGCCCAGCCAGCGGGGCCAGCAGCTTTCCCTTTGGCGCCTTAAGCTGCTCCGCATCCAGCAGAAACGGAGCTGTCACCTTCCTGTGGTCTTCACCAAGGAATTGCCTTCACTCAGGACCCAGCTGGGACGGAGCAGGATCCCACAGGCACCCACAGGCACTAACACCGCTGCATTAACTCAGCCGCAACAGTGGGCTCCCAAAAAAACCTATGCACTTACAAGGCAACGTGTCTCGGGCAAGATGGGGACACGTTGGGCAGGCAGCCAGCCTTGTCCTTCCCCCAAATACGCGGTGCTAAGAACTTGTTGCATGTGTTAGACCAAGACAGGCAGTGACCAGAAAAGTAGTCTTTTATTTCAATTAATATTTCTTGGCATTAGGCAGATATTAAATAACACTGGAATGCACAAGACTATTAACATATCGACAGCAAAAGGGAGGAGGTGTAGCCAAGTCGAGAACAGCAGTGCGAGTCACGTCACCTCGGGGCACTCAAAAGCCATTTAACGCAGCAACCACCAGAAAGTAGGACTCCACTGAGAAATACAAAATGGGGATGAACTCCTTTCAGGTCTTTTGTTAATACGGTAACATTGGAACGATTGACAGTAAAAATGAACAAATATTTGCATTCAGGAATTAAACAGAGTGAAATATCCACAAACTGCTAGTCATGCATTTCTTTTGGAACAGCAATTTGCTAATGCATAAATATCACAAAAAAACAATCTCCAAGATTTGAATAAATCACAGACGACTAGAAGAAACAAAGCTTGAATTCTATTTTATGCCTTAAATAGATGACCTAAATATTTAAAATTTTACTTCACCATATATATATAATTTATATATATATTAAAAGAAAGTAAAGACCATCAGATAAGTGCAAGCAATTTTCCTCAAAAAGAAAATTGGAACCATGCCCAGGAAAGCTGCTTTTTTTTCTTTTTTCTTTTTTCCTTTTTTTTTTGAACTTTCTACTCAATTCAGTCCACTTTTTTTTCTTCCACATAGTAATTTCTGAAGCAAAATAAATTATCTACCATCTGCTATGTCAGGTAAAAGTCCTACCTAGCATCTTCTCGGGAACTACTAGAACATCACCTTTCTTACGGACTAAGTGAAGTGGTATCTCACCAGCGATTTGAACTCTTTTGTAGCTGCATGTAAACATACCTTTCGATTAACGTTTAAAATGTGTAGACTGAATCGTAACATTATGGGGAAGCAGAAACGGAGCTGCCGAAGGAGAGCTGCACTGGTGTTAGTGAGGGGAGCGAGGGCTGGTTCGCTCGGACACACACACACACACGCACAATCTGGCAATGGGATCTTATCCGCGAAGTGTGGAGGGATGGTTGAGAAGGCATCCGTTTGCGAGCAAAGCTTGAAGGACACAAGCCGAGATTCTCTGTGCACACTGTCCGCTTTAATCAGAATTGACTTGCGCTACTGGGGTCGCACTGTAACAACCGCACAATGGAGGGATCGCTCTTGGCACCTTTGATGAACTCTTCCAGCGACAGTTTACCTGAAAGGGAGGAAAAACAAAATGGAAATAATAAAAAAAAGTCAGTTGCTGCTGCCACCGTCGCTGTAGCTTAAAAAACCCCTCCTCACCGAAGCAACGTATGTATATTTAATCTATTGCAAAGGCATCGAGGGGAATTTAGTGCAATGCACAGCAGCCAAATCCTACTCAAGCCCTTAAGCCCAGATGCATTTTCCTTTTGCAAAACAATCTAGCATAATAATTGTCATATTTTATTTAAAAAGACAGTACCAAATATAAAAACAACTGTTCTAATATCATTTGGCAGCTTTTTGCACAGAAGCAGACTGTACAAATTACATGACACATGAACACAAGGTATGGTACCTGAACACATGTACGCTTTGAAAATTACGCCCATATTACTACGACATTTTAAACCTAAATATCCCAAATGTCTCCACTTCGCATGCTCTCAGTTTGTTGTGAAGTGTAGGGCTGAGCAGTGATGGCTCCTCCTGCGCCTACAAGACACTTGCTGTGCCCTGTGGGGTGTACAGGAACGGGACCTGTTTCACGGGGCAGTGAGAAAAGCCAGGCTTGGGAGAGCCACCTATTGCCACGTGTCGCTCCTGAGTGTTCCTGGTTTATATGTCTTTGGTTTAGGTCAGAGGCACTGACTTGGATGGACCCTGTAACAGCCTGCGGGTCTGAAAAGGTGATCTCTGGAGGAGCAACCACCCCAGCATCCCTTGGCTGCAACAGTCCTGTGGCACAGCATGGCACGGCACAGTAAGGAGGAAAGGTCTCATCTGGTCTCCCACACCTCATCCTGGGGCAACCCAGCCTCCTGGCAGGTTTTTCCCGAGCTCAGGACCAGCCCCCTGCGCAAATGCCATCAGGAGCCCGTGAGCAGCCTCTGCCTTGCCTGCTATCACCAATACTCTCCCGCTTCAGCACTCTGAACCATGGCAGAAATAAGCCGTAGCAATATTAATGAGAAATGAAACAGTTTTCCCTGCGAACCGGAGGAGACAAGCATTTGCTGCGTCCCTGACACCGTGTCCGGTGATCTCCCATCTACCTCGTGCTCCCAGCACAGCCTACCCCGAGCCTCACACAACACCCCAGGGCCATCCTTACCCAACCCAAACTGCTCTGCTCGAGACAGGCAGGACCCACGCACGAATATCTTGCACTTGGCAGCCGCCTGCTGCCACTTTTGGACACGTGCCCCCAAAGGGAGGGAGGCACAATCTCATTGCACCGGTTTTCACCAGCCCCAGGATGCTCCCAGCCTGCCACGGGGATGGGGAGAAGACTGAGCACGGTGGCCAGCTCCCGAATCAAGGTTGAACAGGGAGGAAGGAGCAAACCTTCCTCTTGCAGAAATTACAGAAGCTCAAAAACCCATGGCACACTTCTGTCCTAATTTCTGGCTTTTAAGCTAATGTTCCCAAACCAAGTGTTTTTTTAAGTTTTTATCAGCCTGAAAAAGAGTACTCGTAACTATCAGGACATTTATTAGTTTTGCCCTCTCCTTGCAATACTTAAAAGCAAAGCACAAATCAAAATCTATTTGCAACATCCAACAGCCAGATGGGGAAGAAGAAACATTTCCAGCCACCAAGAACACACACGCTTCCCCATGCGCAGACTTTATTGCTTGGCACTGCATGGCTTGCAGGGCTGGTATTTTACTGGGAACAGGATGACTTTATTTCAGCAACAAAGTGCAACAGGTGGAGGATGTATATAGCAGGTTTTGTGACCACTACTCTGTCGCACTTCTGCACATGCTGCTACTTTCCGCAGAACAAAAATACTTTAATCATGTTATTTTAGGGCCCTCCACATGTGAAGTCAGGGGATGAAGTGCTAGTTTTGATGAAGTCAAAGGTAAAATACTCGAGGACTTCAGCAAGGCCAGGAATTTGCCCCGGGGGCTGCAGCAGCAGATGCCAAAACGCAGCCGTAAAATTCTCTTAAATAAAAACCTTTCTATACATAAGACCGTATTTTTCCAGGTCTCCATATCTTAGCGCTAGAATCGAATCTTTGCTCCCACTGAGCACATCAGTAGGATACAGCTCCTGATTTTGACACGGGCAGCTGCCGCCTCGGCCACTGCCAGGGTAATTCCCAGGGAAAGCTCCACCTCGACCGGGACGAGAGGAAACACGTCGGCAGGCTGATGGGCAGAGGAAATTGCTCAACTTTGCCTATGTTTTTTGAGCCTAAGGAAATGAGTTAGCTCAGGTGGAGGGGTCGTGATGGGTACGCTGTCAGATAATTTATCAAGTGGCTCCATAATTGGCTCGGGAGCTGTTACATCCCCCCAGCGCGCACGCTGCAACAGAGTAAACACTGCAGGACCGTGTGTGACCATGCGTACATGTACACACGCCATAAACATGTACAGAAAATAAGTATTATGGACCCAGGGGAATTTTTGCGTTCAGGTACCCAACCACATCCCCAACCCGCATTACTGACAAGCCCAGGACTGCAACCCTATCAAGGGCAATGGGAGCAAAGCCTTGTGCCTAGTTTGTGCTATGCCCAGAGAAAATAACCCAAAGACATTGGACTCAGGGGAGTCACAGAGGATCCTGCTCCCCTCCCATCCCTTCGTCCCCCCAGCAGGAAAAATCTGTCACCCACTGCCCACTTATTCACCCTATTTGTTATGGACCAGAGATGCTCACCGAGGCAGGCAGAGACCAGAGGTGCCGGTGGGGTCATCCCTGCCCTTTACCCACCCGCCCAAATACCATCATCTGCTTCGACCAACACTGGGCTAGAAAACCTGTATTTCTAGAGCCTATGAAGGGGTGCCAGTGGAGATCCTACCATCGTTGTTTGTGTCCATCTGTCTGAAGATCTTGTCTGTTCGCTTCTCGGGAGTGGATTCATCTTCTGGCATTTTCATTACTGATGAAACCATTTTGTAGATTGCCTGAGTATTTAAACAACAAAAAAAAAAAAAAAGAAAAGAAGATACAGGAAAAACACAACCCAAACAATAAAGCATTAGGACTGAGAAAAAGAATTTAAGCCTGTAGCAATAAAAAAAGGCAGCTGGCCCTGGCAGGCAGCTGCGGGACTTTATAAACCAAAACAAATAGGAATTTCTGACTGCAGCTTTTTTTATTTTTCTTTCCTGTATTCATTCACACTTCAAAAGAAGCTCCCGCACCGCTGGGTCAGTTTAACTGAAAGTCAGGGTCTAGATTAATGTACGAGCAGGACTGAGCAAAAATACAGGAGGCAATGGCATGTAATTCTGTTTTCTGCAACTGCGCTAAGCCATCGCCTCTTCGGCTGGCTCTCAACATACACTCAGTTACGTGCATGCGTGTGGGGTGTTGTATGGATTACAGGTGAATATGAATATATAGGAATAGGGGTTGTTTTTCTTTGTGGATGGATAAGGAAAAGCATTTTCAGACTTACAAGAATGTGAATAGAGACGAGACCTCGTTAGGACATCTGCAGTCCTAGCCTTCCTCCTAAATTATCCCTGCTCAGCTACGAGGACCAACGGCTGGGGCACTGGCTGGATGCATTGCATGCTTCCCAGCGCCCCTTGCAGTGCACTGGAGACACCTCTCAGCTGCAGATCTGATGGCAAGCAGCCCACTGCTGAGGCCGAGTCCCAGCTGGCACATGGGGCAGGGGCACAGGGGGCTCTGCCCCACACGCCCCCCCAGTACAGCCCATGGGCTACGCGCCCCCAGCCTTTGGGAGACAAAGACATGCTACAGCCTTTCATTTGGAGCTCACATTGACTCAGACTTGAAGTTTCAAAGTATTAATTTTGAGATTAATCAGGTCAGTAAAATTTGCATTTAGGGTTTTTTGATCCCATCAACACCCCACTAAGAAATCCCCAGGGAGAGCTGCAAGATTTTGGCTGCGGGCCAGTTGTACAGCACCCTGTTAGTCTCTTGGGCTCTTTCCTCATTTGCACCTTGTAGGTCCCACCATGGCCCCCAGCGTCGTTTTGGGGCCCAGGAGCCTCCCTGGGGCAGGAGGGACCCAACTCAGCAAACCCCTCATCTCCAGCTCCAGCTGTCTCAGGGTGAAGAGGTTACAGCAACATGAATAAAATATAAAATAGAGACAATGCCTTACCTGCACTATTTCTAGCATTTCCCCACGGCTGATGTACCCGTTGCCATCCAGGTCATACATACTAAACGCCCACTTCAGCTTCTGTTCCAGCTTGCCCCGAGAGGTGACGCTCAGGGCGATGATGAATTCCCTAAAGTCAATCGTCCCGTCGCCGTTGGTGTCAAAGGTGCGGAAGACGTGCTCCGCAAACTTCGATGCATCGCCATAGGGGAAAAAATTTGCGTATATTTTTTTGAACTCTTCCACAGTCAAATGTCCCGTCGGGCAATCTTTTAGGAAGCCCTTGTACCACTCCTGCAGCTCGTGGTCTGTGAACTCAGTGTTCTCGCGCAGGTCCTGGAGCACCTCAGGGCGCAGCTTGCTGTTCTGCTTCCCCATCCTCTTCTGGATCCGGGTTCAGTGGCTGCAAAGCGAGAGAGCATCCGCCTGAGCTCCGGCCCCACTCGGCGGAGAGGGGCTGGGGGCAGGCAGAGCTCTGCAGGAAACGCAGACCCTGACTGGGGCAAGGGGGAAAGAGGAGAAAAAGGATGCTATAAATCACTAGGAAAATATCTCATTTCATCTGGCCTCTTTTCCTCTCCGCTAGGCTCTCTCAGTTACTAGTATGCCACGGAAGGACAAGGGAAGGCAGTTTGGGAGGGACTATTTGGGAAATGTTAACCCTTATTATTAATCCTTATTATTTGGGAAATAATAATCCTCATTATTTTATTTCTCTGCTACGATCCCACTCCTCTATCATATGGCTTGCAATGCCCAGGTCTGGATCCCAACTCTTGACCCACCCCAACAGGCTGATCTGCTGCGATGACCGAGCGGGAAGGGACAGCAGCAGTGATGGAAAGTAAAATCCATCTATTCAAAAGTGAAAGTAAGCCGGGATGAAGCGAGGGGCAGGAAGGGCAGGTGGCTCTGTGCCAGTCGTGTTTGCATCGTCCAGATGCTCTTTGAAACCCCTTGGCTTATGGAGCATCTCCTCCCTCCTCCCCTGACAGCAGCACCGGCACAAGGGACTTCATCCTTTCCAGCAGATCGCGACCCTCTGCCTCCCTGAACAAGCAGAGAAAAGGGCTTTTTAAAGCAAAATGCTTGGCAAAGAAACTCCTTCCAGGTTTACTGGGGTTTGTACTTTTATATAAGCTTATTCGGTAAGTTCAATATTCCCCAATCTGGGCACACAAGGCCACTTCAACCTCAGGATTTTATCAGGATTTCAGGAGGGGGCTGGGTTTGTCCCCTCCTTTGGCAGTGCCGGTGATGCGTGGGTGACTGCGCAGGTGAGGCTGCCCAGCAACGGGAAAGCTCCTTCAACAAAATGAAAGATGGTCAATCTGCACTTAGGAAACAACAGGGAAAAAAGATACCATGATGTATTTTTGGCTTTTATTCCTTTCAGCCTTTCACGGCTTGCCAGCAATACCAAACCGAGCTGCCAAGCAAGAGGCTGAGCTGCATCTCCTTCCCCAGACTCAAGAGGTTTATTCACAAGCTTTGCACAAACTCACATCCAAACCCCTGTGACTGGTCTGGCATAAATGACATTTCTCTGCACAGTCTGTTCTGCCACTGTTAGGCTCGCTCACAGCTGGTGCAGAAGGCAGGTTAGCAACGGGCCTACTCGGAAACTGCAAGAGCTGAGCAACAAAGCGTGCAGAGACCGGGGAAAAATGTAACAGGGGCTAAGCACTTCCCAGAGAGTAAAAATTCCAGGCATGCGTAAGAACCTAAAAAAAAAAAATGTTAAAGGTCAGCAAAAAATAAGTTGCTCTACAGCAGAGATTTTCAACAGCTGAATTTCAGCTCGTTTTATTTGTATTCCACTTAGTCTCTGCGTCGCCTCAGCAATGTAAAAAAATCCACATCCTGCTCTGTGGCTTAATGCTCAGAGACAAAAACCAGGCAGCTGCTCATTAGTACAATGCATCGGGCTTAACGGAAAACTATGTTATCATTAGCACTTCTGTTTTCTAGAAAAGCTGCCAATATTTCAGCTCCAAAGCTTTATTTTTATCCATTATATTGCAGAGTTTTCTCTGGGCCCCTGACACACCTCTGCTTGCTCCCAACATGCAGGGATGCTACAGCTCCCAGTCCCTGCCAGCATCAGCCCTAGGAGAGCACTGAGCTGCCCTCCAGTTGAATCACCAACTCCCAGCTGTTCCCGCTGCCTTTCCATCTTTGAATCTCCCCTGCTCCAGATATTCATCCTTGTGGTGCTGAAGGCAGAAAACACAATATTCTACTCTGCTGCAGTCAATTTGCAGAAAACAGTGGCTTGGAGCAAATAACGGATCGACCATGGTCCGTTTTAGGAGCAGAAATTGTAACACTACATTTCTGTCCTTGGGCGAGGAGGTGCCTTTGGATCCTGTCCTTCAGTGAATCCCCTTGGCTTCATGATGCCCAGTCCAAAAGCAGTTCCTGCCTCGCTGGCAGCTGTCTTGGACTTCCCTGGGAGAGGGGCAGGAGGAGCAGCAGAGCCCGCTTAATGCAGGAGCTGGACTTTAAGCAGAAATAAACTCAGCTTTAATCACACGCAGGGTTGGGGAACGCATGGTAAAACTTCCAACTGGCAGTTAAAAAGAGTTTGAAAAGTTTAATGACATTTCTCCCTGTTCCTATAATACCTTTATTATTCCTGTTCCCTTAAAAATAGAGGCCCCTAGACAACAGAGAGGTAAGATGTTAACTTCATTTATTAGACTTCACTACTTCTACTAGCAGGAAGATATATCCTGTTATTTGGACGGATGCTCATTTAATATCAGCTTCAAAAGCTTTACATTCAAGTAGTCTTTGCATTCAACAAGTTACAGGTTATTTCAACCCTTCCTCCTCTTGTACATCTTTTTATATCAGAGAAGTAAGGTGCAATGCTCTGAACACAACCCTTTTTTGCATGTGAGCTTTCTGAAAGGCTTCATAATGTGTTCAACCCAAATGTAACCCTGCAGTTGTTGTAACCAATTTGTTACGAATAATTAAATAACCAACATTAATTTATTAAAGCCCATCTAAAAAAACCAGCTTCGACGTGAATTGTGTTGCAGGTAGCTCCTCCAAAACGAAATGCCTAAATATCTCATTAATCATGACAGCAACCCCTGCTGCTGGCATCCAACTGACATTTCATTCGATCGCTATAAAACGCTTTCATCAAATCACTTTCCAGAGGCTCAGCGGCTGATTTAGCCACAAGACCACTTGGAGGATGGCTGCTAATGGAAATCACAGGGAGTGCGTCTGGGATGCTCAGGTCAGTCCTGTGATTAGGGCTGTGGGGTTTTTTTTAATGAGCCTGTACCAGCCAAATCACTCGCTGCAGTGGGTGTAGAAGGCAAGGGAGGAGAGACATCCTTGCACCCAGTGTTGCCCCGGGCAGTCAGCAGAGACCTAGCTCCAACACAGCCTGCCTGTCCCTCATTTCCCACCACACCAGGGTGAAATCCAGGGAAGTAATGCCACACACATTGCAGTGAGATCCGTCCCTGCTTAGCGTGATGAGCAAAAGCCCTCAGAGCATCCGGCACTATCATGGCAGTAAGAAAAATAATCACAGGAATGCCCTTGAGGTGATCAGACAAGGAAAAGCTTCAGTTGCAGACCAGTAGACTTCACAAGTATATCACTGCTCATGAAAGCGATGCTCAGTCATGTAAGGCTCAAACAGGGGGAAATGCAGGTGCATTTTTCTTCCAGTTTCACACCAAAATTTTTGTTAAAATTATGCTGTGCTGCTGCCTGCCTGCAATAAGCTACATCCAGCCAGGCTAGAAACTGAGATGCCAGAGAACTCCTACCTGAATATATCCTCTGTCCTTCTAGGCTCACCAAAAATAAGCAATAATGTCATAGCAAAAGCCTAGCAATGAGAAAAAAGGTCTTTTACTGAGGCCAAGATGCACACCGGTTACACAGCACTACGGTGAGTAACTGTAGCTAAAGTAGCAATTCTGTGTTTTTACCAATAGATGGACTGGTTGTCAGCATCCACGCACTGAAGCATTTGAAATACTTCTAACAAAGCTACTTTTACATGAACTCTCCGTCAACCACCAGTTACAGCGGGTAGAAGCGTTCTCCGAGCACATAAGCCAGAAAGCCAGAGATCAACCCAGCTTTTTCACTGCAAACCTTCTGAAGGCAAAAACCCCTTGAACTGAACTGATGGGATCCTCTTAGTGCATCAGTTACAGCTGCAAAAGGAGGAATGACTCCTTAGAGATGCACTTCCTTGTGCAAACCCACTTGCATACTGATTTAGTGTTAATAAAAAGAAGAAAACTGATGAAACGCCTGTCTGTAGGACAGAGGTGCTCTCCAGCAGAGAAAGTGCAACAGAGAAATAGAATAAATAGTCTTTATATTATCTGAGCTATCTGCTTTGCAGGGGGAACTCTAGCACCATTTCTCTTGCAGTGCTCACTTATAAAACAGAACAAGTGTGTCTGAGATCTGTTACGGTCCTGAAGCTGTAGCACAGTGCCTCTGGGACTGCAGAAGCCCAAACCAAATGAATAGCATAAGCCAGGCAGCAAATATTGCTCTAAGTTGGTCTGAAATGCAAGAACCATTCCCATAGGGGTGGAAGATTTTTTATTAAAACACCTAAAGCATCAGATCCTTCACTGATGCCTTCTGCCTGGGGATGCAGAAGAAGAGACAAAAGGACTTAGCCCACAGGGACCTTGTGAGCATCATGTTACGAAAGGCTTTGCTTGGAAACACTATTTTACAGTGATGGTGGTGAAACACTGGCATAGGTTGCCCAGAGAAACTGTGAAGTCTCCATCCTTGGGGATTCTGAAAACCCAGCTGGACATGGTCCTGGGCAATCTGCTCTAGCTGACCCTGCTTGAGCAGGGGGCACGGACTGGATGATTTCAAGAGGTCCCTGCCAACCTCAACCATTCTGTGAAACAGCCTCAATATCCTTTTTCCCATGGCCAGGTGAAGCCAAGAGCCACGAGGAGGTCCTGCTCCCCTGGGACAATTCAGCAACCATGGTGCCTTGTTCTGAGGCTGTATTTTTTAAAGTTTGATCCTTGTATTAAAAAAAACAAAACAAAACAAAAAAACCACAAAAAACCACAGGTAGTCCAAATAAAAGCCTCAGTCACTAAAGATCTGTGCTGCCACACTTCAGGAACACACTCTCGGGAAAAAAATGTTTTGGGCCCTGGTAGCACCAGCACTCACCAACTCAGTCAACGCACAGACGTATTTAAGAAGACTCCAGCTCCCGTGGGCCAAGCTGCAAGAGGGAGACAGCTTCTCGGGCACACCAGCTAGCAACAAATGCCTAGCGGTTAGAAAAGATCATGTAGCAAATAGGCTGCAAGATGGGATTATAAGGACATCCTCTGGACCATGCTTTGCCCAGGGCCGGTCAACTGGTCTGAT